TCAGAAACAGTACATTGTATGCAGAATTACCATAATAGCTCTCTGCAAAATAAATTGTCAGATATTCTTATCTCAGTGGTGAATATCAAAAAATCTAATATATTATAAAGGAAATTTAAAAAAATGTTTTTTATATTGCCACGTGAAACCTTTAGAAAGATTGTTATCTTCATGTAAGCGTTTTAATTAGATGTCACCGATAGATGGATGTGAATAGTAGATAGTCAAATTTATTTGGTTGATCTTGTTTGAAGAATACACAACAAGTGCAATTAAATACCTACTTTAAAGTATTTGATGAATACTGGAAAAACATATGAACATATGGCTTGAAAAATAAGAATAATATCATTTCTGAAGGTGAGTACAATAACATAAGATTGTTTTGTTATGTCATAATTACATTGTACTTTAAAACGTTCAAAGAAGACGTAATATCGTATTACACAACTACCGATCAGCAGGTTATGGTGTGCTAACTTAAGCATTATGCACCATACTACTTGAATATGTGTGCTATATTTGTAGGCTTAGGGTTTTAAAGACTTGATTTTGAGTTCATTTTTGCTTTTTTTTTGTTATGAAGTTTAGGGGAATTTCATTAGGCTTAGTTTTTTAGGATTATAGTTGTTTAAATTGTTCTCATTATAGATTATTGAAAGCTCGTGGGTTTCGGTTACTATAAATATTTACTAACTTTTTGATTAAGGCAATAATATTTTAACCAAATGTATTTAGTTTGCATCGATAAATTCAAGTTTTACAGTGATAGTTATACAGTTCGAATTTCGCGCAAAGCTACACGAGGGCTATCTGCGGTAGCCGTCTCTAATTTAGCAGTGAACTAGAGGGAAGGCCACCACCACCGCCAACTATTGGGCTACTCTTTTAACAACGATTAGTGGGACTAACCGTCACATAATAGCGCCCCCACAGCTAAAAGGGGCGAGCATGTTTGGTGGGACAGGGATTCGAACCCGCGACCTTCAGATTGCGAGACAAGTGCCCTAACCACCTGACCACATCAGGCGTGGTAAGTATGCAGACCACATTATAAATGCCATTCCTGCCAAAGTGAAATAAAGATAAGCTTTTAGTCATGGAACGGAAACAAATGGACTCGTCTATATTCAGCACTAATACAGTCGATTGTTTGTTTGTTTTGAAGCTAAGCACAAAAGCTACACAATGAGCTTTGTCCACCACGGGTATCGAAACCCGGATTCTAGCGTTGTAAGTCCGCAGACATACCGCTGGGCCACTGGGGGACGTTTGTAGAGAGAGAGAATTATTTTATTACTTAAATTAATCTAATGCTATAAGTTAATGGCAGTTTTAATGGTGTTTCTAGCGAATGATACCTAAATTTTACAAGTGAAATATCGTGGAAGATTTATTGTTTGTACACTTTATTTATTCTGTACAAGATTAAAGAAATATTTCAAGAAATTGCATACACAGTGGTCATTGAAACAAAATAATGTGTTATTTCACTAGAAAATAAAAAATAAAAGTTTTATACAAGTATTCAAGTGCGCAACGAAAATTTGATCATTATTTTAAGTTTAAATTGTTAGGTATTACAATTTCAAATAGCCTAAAACTGAGTTAAATTGTAATTTAGATTTAGTGGTTAAATAAATGCCGATATATCTCCAATTTATGATATTTGCCAACAAGATTGATACACACAGTTTTCTTTTTTAATAGAAATATATTTTAATATATAAATGATAATAAAATTTACAATAACGGTTATTACAAATAGTTATTACAAACAATAGTTTATATACAAAAGTTTTACAAACAATATGAAGTTTTCTTTCTAGTCTGGAACTTCTTTGATATCTTAGCTAGCCCTGTAGTTCTCAATGATCACACGCCGATTACAGGTCGAGTTTCCACCGATGACGTTAGGTAATGTTTTCGTAAAAGTACTAATGTCCGATGTGAATCCACTGAAGTTAAATGATTTATAATGTTAGAACTTTATAAATGTTCCTGTTCAAATATCTGAAGTTTTCCAATTAATAAGCGTTATAACAATCACAGTTATAGCTTCCAAAGTTTATTTTACACCAACTATAGCAAACCAATAATAGATACTGTTTTTTTGGCTCATCGGGTTGATTATATTTATAGGTGTGTGGAGAGTTTCTCGATATTTCAGTTTTACGTAACAATACTGACGCTAACACTAGCGTTTACGCACACACACATATATTGTTGATTCTTACACTCTAGAACCTTCTACAACTTTAGAGAATAAGCGGGAGTTTCCCAATATCTATATAACAGTATGAGTTATGTACATTTCTAAATATAAATTACTGTAAACAAACATCGATACTAAAATAAATATATAATAATAAATCCGTCACAAAATTAATATTATACTTTGCCGTTATCTCACTGTTTACCATTTCAGCTTTTGTATTTTGAAGATGCATTAGATCAAGCTTTGATGGAGAAGTATAACATTTTAGTTGCCTTGTTTTGTTGAATTCCTTTTAGAGCTAGCTACTCGAGGTATATCTGCATTAGTTGTCTCCAATTTAGAAGTGATAGACTATAGGGAAAGTTGCTAGTCAAAACCACCTACCAACTCTTGGGAAAAGTGGGACTGACCCTCATATTATAACCTACCCACCACGGCTGAAAGGGCGAGCATCTTCGATGACGGGATTCGAACTCACAACCCGCAGGTTGTGAGTTGAGTGCCCTAATCACAGGCAATGCTAGGTCTGAAAGAGTTAATAAAGCTTATAAACGAAGTTTCGATCACAGGAGTTTGAACTATCGGATAGATTATTGCTATACATTGTATAGATTGTGTAGCAGGTTATCAACGTACAGACACAAGAGTTACTGATTTATATCATAAATGTCAAATAAGAAGCACATTTACGTTTGATTACACATTATTTTTACTTTTTTTAACTAGTCTGTTGCTTTTTCTTAGGAGCATGAAATTCTTTAGAATTCAAATACTCCTTCCTTCCTCTTCAGATTTTCTTAAAACTCTTGAAAATCTATTTCCTTAGATATTCTTAGCTAATACTTTTACCCCTAAAATTACTTAGGTAGTTATTTTGTGGTTGTTTGTAAGACTATTAAGTATCATCGAGTCTGATAAACTACGATAAAATAGACGCCTATTTTCCAATTAATTCAGTGACGAAAACTCTAAAAAATGTACACAGTAAAATAAAGAAGTGGAAATAATCAATTTACTGTAATATACTCGTTAGATATGTTAGCGACAAACGAGAATGGTTTATAATCTGCTATTGCAAAATTCGCGAATTGCTTAAAATGCACAGAACTTTAAATAATTTTCAGATAAAATTATACGAGTAGAAGTCCATAGTACTAATTATTTCGCAAATTTGTGTTTACTATTTAATTATTATTGTACATAGATGTGTAGGAAACTGATATCAAAATTGTTATGGTGTGAACACCATTTGTTGGTGAAACTTTATTATATTTGTCACAAATTAATATTATTAGTCCTATTGAATTTTTAAACCATATATTTCGTCCTATAGGATTTTACTAGAATAAGATCGTGTAGTATTGTTTAAGTCATACTATGTGCGTCACATCCACTGCCGACACCGCGTTTTGCTGAATGCCAGAACTCATCAGGCCGGCTGCGATACAACAAATACAACTATTTGTTATTGTGCAAAGCATTTTGATATCTTAGCATTATTATAATAGAATGGCTGAACTACTATTATACAGTTTTCTACTCGAAAAAACAAACAAAAAAACTAGGGACAGAATAAAGAATGTAGTGTTTAATAATACAATAGACCTAATACTATTGTCTTGTATCAAATATAATTGATTACAATTGTACTTCGCCAGCCAAAAGCATTCATATAACGAAAACTGCTATTCTAACAAATGGCTTATATAAATAGCGTTCCGACCAATGTTTGTCATATCCCAGCGGACTTAATGAGTTCTGGTATTGAAAGAAACGCTTCGTCAGTAATGGATATGGCAGACATATTATGTTTGAAATGCTAATATACTCTCTTCTAGAAAAACACTCCTAGGGACCAAAGAAAGTATGTAATGTTTAAAATTTTAATAACTATATAGTATTTATATCTACGTTTGTTTGTTTTTCCATAATTTATGAATACTGGGCGACAGTTATTTTCCACAAGTATGCTTTCATCTCGGCTCTGAGAAATGACAAATCACTACAAACACGTTCATAGCTCCTTTGGCCTTGACATTAATCATTTGTGGCTAAGTTTCATTTATATTAAGAAACTCTTTGTGAGACAGATATGGCTCGGATAGAAAGAGCAGTTGAAACTATACCAACTTCAGCAGGTACAACTCGAGCTCACCATTTTATTGGTATATCATTTATTATAATTTGCTTCATAACACAACTGTAGTTTGAATATGGATAAACACTCCATTCTTTTAACATGTAACAATAAAAAGGCATTAGCATTTAAGCATGCAATTTAAGCGAATATAATTATAACACCAATGAATTAAGCATGATATTTTCTTGCGTCCAGTTAGATCATTATTATGTATATTGAATTTCACTTATTACATTCTCTCTTCCATGAAAAAAATAATAATAATGTAGTTTTTTGTTGTTGTTTTTTTTGCAAGCATTGTGGGTATATTATGTACAGCTACAGAGACTAACTTCTTTGTCCACTGAACCCAGAACTACATCACCTGTATTTATACGCCTCGCGTGGTAGATATCAAAAACTCACTAGCAGAAACCCATGTAGTTGAAAACGTGTATTACTGAGATTCTTTCACTCAGAGAGTACAGATCGATTACCGGTCAGAAAAGCTCCATATTCTGACGCTCGCCAGTTGAACACTAGTGTCGTGTAAGTACGTGTATAAAAGCAGACGTCCTGACCAGTGGGATTTCTTAACAGCCCGAATAATAATTAATCTATTTAAATACTTTAAGTAAAAGTTTAGAACATGTAAACGAAATACTCAGATTGTTTTCAAAAGAATGTAGTTCCGTTGAAATGTAACTGTTTTCTCATTAACATACTTAAATGTAATGCAAGTATTTCCTTGTTTTAAAGCTGTTCAACACGTTTAGCTAAAGAGTTTACTGCAAGAATGGCTAAGATTCTAAAGACAGAAAAGACGTACATTTCATATATGCTTTTGCTGTCCTCGACTTCCTGCTGTCTCCTGTGTACTGCAATCACAGAAAATCTTCTGACGAGCATTTCTGAGAAAAGTAAGTGTGTCCTTTTGTTATACAAACAAATTTAAGTGAAGTGTTTTAATATAGTTTTAAAGTGCAAATAGGCTTTTAATGTTTTGGTATCGATATTTTAATTATGTTAATTCTATATATGCATAATGAGAATTTCAGTGAATATTGATGAATTTGCTGAAAACGTATTACAATATCTTTTCTAAATAATCAGAAAATGATGTTAATTTAAATTATGAATAATAGATTACGTAAGCGTCATATCAATTGGTTTAGAAATCGTAAAGTTTTGTTATTATTTTTTTGCAGTAGCAAATGACGTCAATTTAAATTTCAGTTTAAAAAAAATCCCAAAATTGCAGATTATTTTTGGTAGAACTGTAATTGTAGTGATCTCTTTTCGGACATAGGCAGAACATTTTATATACAACTGTTATTAACAGTGACTAGATATCAAGCACGTGATGTCTAGAGAGAATCTAATACGTCGTCAATTTGGTTTACTGTATTTATAACTTGATGATAGGTTCTACTTCAGTAACAGTTTCTATAGTGTAATTTGTTTTCAATTCTCTAACAGAATATGTCATAATGTACACAACATTAGCTGAGCATGTTGTTATAGCCTGTCACTTACTTTGTTCGAAACTCTAATATTACAGATAACTAAAGTTTGACACTTTATGACACAAAAATATGTTTTGGATAATGTTGGTAGTGCCAGTGCAAATATATTTTTAACATTGCCAATTTTGTGTAAATAATACTTGATTTCATGGTATGAACGGTTTGTTATTATATGGTACAACATTATTTTCAGGTGGTTTTCACACCAATTTACAAGAGATACTATGAAACTATTGCGTGTATAACATTGTTTGTAGTCACAGTTCCATGGTAACTACACATTACAAAAAGAAGAACGTGTTTATGTCAGAACTAATGCTAATTTGAGTTTTCCTAACATATAATACATTATCATTTCCTTTTTGAGTTCTAACTGAGCTAAAAGTGGCACAAAACGAACCTAAGTAAAACAAAATTAATTTAGCTTCCAGAAACCAGTTTCTGAGGCACACTGTTCTTAGTTAATTATTTAATTAGAAGTTTTTTTTAATAACAGAGCGAAGTTTTGATGGCAGAAAATAATTTGTCTGGAAAAAATGCATTGAATGACAACTGAATATACAAACAAACTGTATAGTTTGCAAAGTTATACCAGAAAGCTCGTTCTTCCCTCTTCTCGTGTTCAAATCCTGAAGGCCCCCCAGTGGCACAGCGGTATGTCTGCGGACTTATAACGCTAGAATCCGGGTTTCGATACCCGTGGTGGGCAGAGCACAGATAGCCCACTGTGAAGCTTTGTGCTTAATTACAAGCAAACAAATCCTGAAGAATTATCAAGAATATCGGCAGTCAAGGC